CTTGACTCATTTTGTATCCCCCCATAAGCCCCTCCCTCCTCCCCTCCTGATCCCACCCTCCGTCCCTTTTCTGCATGCATGCCACTCCCCAAGTCCACTGATAGGGGAGGTTCTCCTCTCTTTTCTGATCTTAGTCTATCAGTTCTCATCAAAAGTGGCTGCATTGTCTTCTACTATGGCCTGGTAAGGCTGCTCCCCCCTCAGGGGGAGGTGATCAACTAGCAGGCCAATCAGATTATGTCAGAGGCAGTCCCTCTTCCCATTACTATGTAACCCACTTGGACACTGAACTGCCATGGGCTACATCTGTGCAGGGGTTCTAGGTTATCTCCATGAATAGTCCTTGGTTGGAGTATGAGTCTTTGGGAAGTTCCCTGTGTTCAAATTTTCTTGTTCTGTTGCTCTCCTTGTGGAGTTCCCGTCCCCTCCAGTTCTTACTATTTCGCACTTCTTACATAAAATTACATTAAATGTATAAATCACAACATAAAAAGAATTCATGATAATTTTGAAACCATGATAAACTTCTATTACATTCAGCTAAGAAAATAAACATATATTGAATCATTAGTACTCAAAACTGTGAACATGAGCCTTCAGTGGAACATCAGTGAAATTAGGGAGACCAAAGTGGTTCAATAAAATGAAAACAACTATCATCTGGTTTGGGCCCCATAAGTGTAGATGAAGTCACTACCACCATTATCAGCAGCAATTTTTCTCTGATGAAATGATTAGCAATATATAAGTTATAGTTGTACTTGGGTTATAACTCATCAGAAATTTAAAGTGAAAGCTCTGTTCATGATATCTGATTCATAAACGAAAGGAAAACTTTACATTTAGAATACAATCAATAGATTTTTTTTTTATCTAAACTTAGAACACGATGGAAAAATTAAAGCACAAAGCTTTCCTCACCATTGGTTCTTCTCAGTTCCTCCACAAGGCACTGAGCCTCTTCTTGAACTCGGTCCTCAATGGTCCTTTTGCCCATTCCTAAATTCCACAGGGTTGTCAGAGAGAAGCGCCTCATTTCTTTCCATCTGTTTCCACGGCTTAAAATGATTCCTAAACGAATAAGAACACAAACTACAAAGTGATTTCCAGAAAAGAAGGACCATCTGAGAACACACAACAATTCAGAGGCCCAACCTGAGCTCCAGAAGCAAGTCTGGGGTTTTCTTTATATCTTCTTCCTGACCATGAATACTATCCAGCTCACACATGAATATACACAGTAACTTACCAAGGCCTTTACTAATTTTATCAAACACTGGGAAGCTTCCTCTTCCAGAAAACTCCTCCCCATGATCAATCAAGGCTTCCTTCACTGCTTCATACCCATGCAATACGACGGTGGGCGTCATGCCAAAGTACAGAGTGAACACGGGGCCATAGACTTTTGAGAACTAGAAATTGGAAAGCAAAGTAACGAGTAATTATTACTTGTGGGTGGGGACAATGTACCATGTGATGGCCCAGGCAGTTGATACTTAGATTACAGTGAATTGTCACATCAAAGTACTTAGCATGTCTTTTGATTGTGTTTCAAAGAGAAACTGAGGCAAGAGTTTTCCACATTAATTTTTGGCCTGAATTGCTAATGAATAAAAGACTCAGCATCTGTATTCTGTTCTCATTTTTTTT